CATGCAGAATTTCTAATGGAATAGTTTTCTGCCTTTCGGTTCCTACTCCTATCTTACCGATTTGTCTCCAGAAATCCTCGTTGTTATCATCACACATAAGTTCCAGTTTCTTATGAACTGAACTCCTGTAATGTCTTTTCTGCTTCTGAGCACATTTATCGAAATCTTTCCTCAGCAAAATAAACTCATGCTTTAACTGCCTTTTACACTGACCACTAGCTCTACACCTTGCCTTCTCTGCTGCACACATGTCGTTCCACTTGTGAGATAACTGTTCGTGCCACCAGGGGTGTCGTTGTATTCTTTTCTTATTACTTTTTCCGGCTGATAGGTTCACACGGATAACAGGAAGTTTATCTCTCATTTCATTTTTAATAATATCAACACATGCAGTGTAAGCCTCATCTAGACTACCTTGATCTCTCTCCGACAGTTCAAGACTTTCAATTATCTTGTTTAGCTTTTCTTGAATGTCATCAGATTGAAGAAAGTCCTGGGGGGCGGGGTGATCTTGTTAAATATTTGTCATAGATTATTGTGTCAGAGTTATCTTCCCTTAATTCCTCAGTTGTGATATTGTCATCGAAAGTTAAATCCCATGTAAGCATGGAATGGTCTATTTTTAGGAGCACATCTCCGTCTACTTTAGACATGCATTCTGCATTGTTAACTAAAACTGTGGGGCGCATAACAGTAAAATCACTAAATGAAGCAATACTTTCGTAGGGTAAAAAACAATAGTCAACTACTGACAAACCTTGCCTTGACACATATGTAAAATCGTTTTGCAGACTGTTTCTACCGTTCAACATACAGTAGTTGGCACCAATTAGAAAGTCTACACATAATTTACCATGGTTATTTTGTGTAAAATCAATAACATGTCTTTCTGGGAGACGGTCAACTCCCTCTATATAGTCACTCTCATCACCACACCAGCTGTTAAAGTCCCCGCAAATAAAACTAACAGACCTGTATTCAAACACTTGTGACAGCAAAGTGTCATAAAAACTTTCTGCACATACATATCTTGATGAACCACCTGGCGGTAAATAGCAAACACACACCTGTTTTTCTATTCTTAACTGACATCCATAAAATATCCTGATGGGTTTTATCTTTAATGTCAATATCAAAATACCTTAGAAGTTCATTCTTTATTAGGAAGCCCACCCCTCCTGATCCTCGGGGGGCATGCCTATGCAGTTCTGTCCGGTTATAGCCAAACCATTTATAACCATCAACTTCAATCACGTCACTATTTTTTAGATGGGTTTCTGTTATACCAATTATTTCACAATTCGATTGCGTCACACATATTTGTCGTAATATTGCGTTTTGTGACAAAGAATCCCTTGACCAACCTTTTACATTCCAGCACCCGCATTTTACCTAGTGGAGGCGATGTCGCGAACGATTGGCTGGAGATCTACTTGGATCCCTACTCCTTCGTATGCGACGATCTTGTGAATGACCTATTTCTCTCTGATTGGGTGACCTTTCACGATCACGTGGCTTTTGTTGGTAAATATCACCACGTGCGTTTATGTTGTCAAAATGTCGTCCTTCACCTGGGTTTTCACGGGATACCGCTGACCATCGCCAGCATCTTCTCTGCATCTTTTGTTTTCTTCAACACGATACAGTCTTCCTCCTTCTATTCTCAGCTGGCCATTACCTACAGTGTCTGCCAGAAATGCATATTCGACTCAAAAAGTCGTTGTTGTAATGGCTTATCACTTGAAATGTAAACATTCCTATAGTTTCTGCTGTCCCCGAGTCTCTTTTTGTTTAAAAGGATTTTTTTCTTGTCATCGAGCAATTTACACTTAGCAATCACCATTCCAGGATTTCTTGTCCCACGAGATTCCTTTCTCTCTGCTATATCCACCTTTATGTCATTGAGCTTGAGACCGTCTTTGATAACACCATTCACTTTTTGTGCAACGTTTTCATTCGATGACTCCGGCAGGTTCATTAGTACAACATTAACATGCACACTGGTCTCACCTGCCACCGTTGTTGCATAACTGCGAGAACGCTTTATTTCAGCAATATCGTTTTGAATGTTCTTATACATTTTCGTCTGAGAGTCTTTTATCTGGGTCACCTCAATGTTTACATCGTGAAATTTTTCTTTCATTTCTTCTCTCACCTCACTTATTTCTTCTCTTACCATTGAGTTTACTGTGTCAAGAAGCTTATATTGTCTATCTTCTAAAATGTTCATGCGTTTATCAAAATGTTCAGTCAAGTTATTGATTGCCCTCAATACATCCGCTATTCTTTCAATCTTTTCTTCATTTTCTTTATCACTTTCTCGGCATTTCACATTTAATGAATCATGTTTATTCTCACCTGTTTGTATGGGTGAATGGATTTGTGTGTTAACCTAAAGTAGTTTTATGTCAGACTTTGTTAGGGAGGTTCTAAAATCGTTTGATGAGGTCGGCTTTGATAATGAATTGTGCAATGGCATTGAAGATGTTTGTAGGGTTGTATGGACTGAAAAGTTGAGAGATGTTGTGTTTATAGTGAGAGGGGATAGTGTGATAAAGTTCGGAGTGAAGGGTGCTTTAGAAAGGACAGTTGTTAAAAACATGGTTAAGATCTTCAGGGTTATTACAGTGGTTGCAGTTTCCGTTGGGGTGTCTGTTTTGTTTGTAGAGGTTGTGATTTTGGTTTGTGGTTCCGCTAATTATTCTAGAGATGATTTGGTCGATGTAAGTGGATTGGTTGTAATTGTGGCATTTAAAGTTATGTCTACTGAAGAGATTTCTGGGCCATGCTGAGTTAGTGGTTTGTATTATGTGGTTGAAGTTTTGTTTTGATTTTTTAATTTTGTTTTTGAGTTGTTTTGGAGGTGTGGAAGTGATTTCAAGGGAAGGCTGTGTAGTGGCGATTTTTGCTGCAAGATAGGCTGTGTTGTTACCTGGTATGTTGGTGTGTCCTGGTATCCATAATAAGCTGATGTGTTTGTTGTTATGTTGAAGTTCGTTTGTGAGGTGAGTAATGTTGTTAATTAGGTCTGGGCGGCATGTGGAATGTTTATTATTGATTTGTTTGAGTGCACTTAGTGAGTCTGATAGAATAAGGAAGTATTTTTGTTTGAGTGTTTTAACTAAGTGGATTGCGGTGAGTACGGCTAGTAATTCCCCTGTATTGTTGTTATTGTGGTTTTTATAGTGGAAGTTCGTTTTGATGGGAGTAGATTGGTCAATATAAATACCTTTCCCTGTTTTTTGGTTTGCGTTTTGTGAGGCATCAGTGTAGATGTGTGTGTGTGTGATGACCAGGTAGTTTGTATGTGTTGGAGTGTAATTTCGGTTTTTTTGGCGGTTGTGATGTTTGTCTGTTCTAGAAATAGGTTGTCTTGGGATGAATCAACTTGTGGGGGTTTGATGTCGGCTATATAGTGTTGAGTAGGGGGAGTGTGTGGGTTTGCAGTAGTTTGTGTAGATGGGTGATGTAGGGTGCTTGGTTTGGTTGATTTTTAAACTTGTGTGCTGTTTGTTTGCTAATATTTGAGTATTTTTGTTTGAGTATTTTGAAGATTGGGTTGTGTTGGGCCCCAAGCCAAGTAGTTAAGTATTGTCTGGTGTATTCTGTTTGTTATGGAAAGCGTGTTGGTCATGAGTAGAAGGGCGAGGTGGGAGGTACACGTTCTGGTGCCGGTTGCTATTTTAAGGGCCTTATATTGGATGGATTTGAGCTTATTATAGTTTGGGATAGAGATGCCACTAAGGACCGGCGCGGCGTAGTCCAATTTGGATTGTATTTGCGTTTTGTATATGTTGAGGAGGGTTTGTTTGTCAGACCCCCAGTCATTACCTTTAATTGCTCTCATTAGGTTAAGATCTTTTTCACAAGAGGTGACCAGATTTGATATATGGGGGCCCCATGTTAGGTGTTGGTCAAATGTGACTCCTTAAATTTTGCTTCTTTTTGGAACGTAATTTCTTCGTGATTCAGGTGAACTTTGGGTGAGTAGTTTTGCATATGGTTTTTTTTAACAGTAATCCTATGTTTTTTTCGGTGTTAATTTTGAACCCCCTTTTGGAAGCCCAATTTTGAATACTGTTAAGAGCAGACTGCATTTTGTTTTTTAATAGATTAATTGATGATGATGATGTCCATAGGGAGATGTCGTCTGCGAATTTGGATGTGGAGATTTTTTCCTTTTTGATAGAATTTGGAAATATATGCAAATAAAAACCCGTCGTCTTTATAGCCCAACAAGTGATGTTGCATGTGCATGTCATGTTGGTGTGTTTTGTCGCCAGGCTTTCGCGTAAATAGATCTTCAGCAACCCATGCTTGTCGTAAAAGGTGACTATATATGTTTGTTGTAAGAGGCGAGTAACGGGATCGGGTTATCAGGTTCCCTCCCATCAGTCAGACAGGCTATTTGTCATACACCTTGTTATTGCCAATCGTCATATAGTTGAGTAGGGGGTAATCAGAGCACTCACCTTAAGCTGAGTTAAGGTCTTTGTTACAACAACAATGTTAAATTCATAAAGGGTGAGTTGTGATCTGGTTATCTTGTGAGAAGGGGGTATTAAGTGATCAAAGTCACTGTAAGTTCTTTTACTAACAAATAATTAATATGTTGTTTTAATAAATACTTTGCCCTGTGAGGTTAATAAATGTAATTCATGTAATCCTATGAAAGGAGACTAGAGATGTTTGAGATGAGAAACTGTTTAACTGATGAGATGTATTTTGTGATCACACACATATGTATAAATACTGTATCAATCGCTTTTACATCATTCACATTCTGGCTCTGCGACTTGTAGAATACGTTACGTCAGCCCGTGGTACCAGGCAGGTTCTCTTTGAAGGATACTTGTTCAACAAGACAGACAACACAACCCTGGCGTTGTGCAATTAAATCTTGCTCCGGCAAGTGCACTACTGTTGGTGATTTTGTGAGGAATGTGTCAGAGCACAACCACCCCCCAGAGACTTCAAACCGAGTTCGTTTTGTCAGCAACATGAGGAAGAGAGCAAGAGAGGAAACAACCCCGATACAGCAGCTTTACAACCAACAGATCGCTGAAGAAGATGATGACCAAGCCCAAGCCCTCCCTGCCTTCCCCAGCATGAGCAGTGCCCTTTACCGCCACAGAAGGAAGACCATACCCGTCCTGCCCCAAACCAGAGCCCAAGTGGACCTAGATGATGCCTGGAGCCATACATCAGATGGGGACTGCTTCCTCCTTTTCAGCGATGGAGAAGAAAATATTATCCTTGCCTTTGCCACAGATGGGCAGCTACAGATCCTACAAGGTGCTGAGACGATATACATGGATGGTACCTTTACCGCCTGTCCTGCCCTTTGGGATCAAGTGTACATACTTCACGTCAGAAGTGGATCTGCCAGCTATCCTGTAGTATATGCTTTGCTACCCGACCGCTAGATGGCAACGTACAGAAGACTGTTCAGCCTTTTGAAGACCCATGTTGCAGACACCCTGAACAGAGAACTTGCCCCCACTCGCCTGCAGACAGATTTTGAACAAGCAGCAATCCCTGCCATCCAGTTGGAGTTCCCCAATGCTGAAGTCAAGTGCTGCTTCTTCCATTACAGCCAAGCCATATGGAGGAAGACACAAGACCTCGGGTTGGCTGTAGCCTATAAAGAAGATCAAGCAGTGCAACAGTGGATTAGAAGGGCAGCAGATCTAGCGCTTCTCCCTGCAGATGATGTCCAAGGTGCCTGGCTAGAAGCGATGCAGCACGCACCTGATCTACCCTGAGCTGAGATCTTGAAAGACTACATGGTATTGACTTGGGTAGATTATGATGCTCGCTTTCCGATTCTCCTATGGAATCACAACGACACCACTGGCCCGAGGACCAACAACAACCTGGAAGGCTTCCACAACAAGCTGAATAGAAGTCTTCCTCACCAACACCCCAACATCTACCGTCTGATAGAAGTCTTCCGAATGATTGAGAAAGCTGTCAAGGTGAAATTGGCGCAGATCAACCTCGGTGCACCTGAACCAAGTAGAAAGCGGGTCTACCGTGAGGTTGACAATAGACTCCAGAGACTGAAAGATCAACTGACTGAAGGAAGGAAGAGTCCAATCCAGTTCCTTGATGCTGCAGGTCACCTATTGAAGCTTGGATAGCCATTATCCGCCATTATGATGCTTTCAATGTTGAATTATGTTATTAATTCTTGTTAAACATGGTTCATATTTATAATATTATGTTGAATAAACCATACTAATTTATTAATTACTTTTCTGCTTTACAATTTGTTTTCTTACAATCTGCGAATGAATTAGCACAAGATCATTCATAATTATAATCCTGGTGTTAATGATCTGTGTGGAACAGTCATGCATATCATATTTTGTTAATGGACTGTATGACTGATGGGAGGATACCAGTGGTCAGGCTCGCCGACTTGGTTGATGCATGTCATCGATCCCGGTTGCGTGTGAAGTGTCCGTAAATTATCGAGTCCCGTGATAGGATTTGAACCACAGACCTTCTGATCAGAGGTTGGACGCCTTGTCCACATGACCAAAGAGGTTAACCCCGACAGCAAACTGACAAGGTAAGGATGTCACCTGTGGGATGACTCCATGCCCTGCTACACGTGGATCGATGCTCATGATGTCACTTGCTGAATTGTCTGGTCCAGACTTGATTTTTTACAGACTGCCGTCATATAGCTGGAATGTTGATGAGTGCAGCGTTAAACAACAAACAAACAGTTGGACCCCTAGCATGGCGTGTTTAGTGACAGTAATCCTTATAACGGCAGTAGAGGCGGTGACAGAATGCCAAGACTGAATGCAGCTCAACGGAACAACGCCATTGGGAGATTACAAGCTGGAGCAACTCGGCAAGAAGTGGCCAGGCATTTTGGCGTATGCAGACAGACAATCTCCGCACTGTGGACCCGATACAACAACACCAACAGAGTTGACGACAGACCAAGGTCAGGAAGACCTAGGGTGACAACCCAAGCACAAGATCGATACATCCGGCTGCGACACCTCCGAGACCACACTACCACAGCCACGTCTACAACCACACAGATCCCTGGGGTACGCAGAATATCAGATCAAACGGTACGCAACAGACTGAGGGAGGCTGGACTTTTTGCACGAAGACCTGTTCGACGTCATGTATTGACCCCACGTCATCTGGCGGACCGCCTGCTTTGGTGCCAACAGAGGGTTAGATGGGCACGTGCAAGGTGGAGAAATGTACTGTTTACTCACGAGTCCCGTTTCCTACTCACACGTGCTGATGGGCGCGCACGTGTCTACAGACGTCGGGGTGAACGTTACGCCCCCAACTGTGTGCAGCAGGTTGTCCCAAATGGCGGCGGGAGTGTCATGGTATGGGCCGGAATTCATCACGGTGGTAGGACGCCTATCGTGCATGTGGCAGGTGCATTGACAGGTGTGCGTTACAGAGACTTGATCCTACAGCCTTACGTTCTTCCTCACGTCAACGTTCATGGCGGACAGTTCCAGCAGGACAACGCTCGACCGCATATTGCACGTGTTTGTCAGGACTTCTTACAGCACAACAACATCCAGACATTACCTTGGCCAACCCGGTCACCAGATTTGTCCCCGATTGAGCATCTGTGGGACGAGTTGGATCGACGCGTTCGCAGAAGGAATCCACCCCCCCCCCCCCAAACCCTTCGGCGCTTCTTGATGCACTTCAGCATGAATGGCAGCACATCCAACAAAGTGTTATTGACAACTTGATTGCATCTATGGGTCGTCGGTGTCAAGCGGTGATTGATGCACGTGGTGGGCACAACCGATACTGACATTTTCTGTACCCCTGTGACACTTCAGCATGAATGGCAGCACATCCAACAAAGTGTTATTGACAACTTGATTGCATCTATGGGTCGTCGGTGTCAAGCGGTGATTGATGCACGTGGTGGGCACAACCGATACTGACATTTTCTGTACCCCTGTGACATTAACTGTATCGTGTACCTGTGTCTGTCAAGGTGAAACGATTAATGTTTTGAACATTGTGTACATTGATCTTCAAACAGTGTTTCAATTATGGTTTCTGTGTCCTATTTTGAAACAATCGCATTATATTACATTTTGAAAGTCAGTGTCAAGTTTCTTTTTTGAAGAGTATATTTATTTATTTTATTTCAAAGATAATATTGAGTGAACGATTTAAAAACGATTTGAGATATATATACACTTTGAAATTATTAAAAGGGATTTAATTGAGGCACTTGTATGCAGGAAATAATGATTTCTCCCCTAAAATACTTATATTTTTATCAATTTGCAAATAATTCTACTGTTCAATGGCCTAAAAATTAAAAATTGAATATATAAAATCAAAAAAGGATATTGACAATGACACTTTGATATAAGGACTGCTACCGTAGATCCAGCCTGCCTTAACAGAAACACAATCTCTTTTTTGTTTAATACATAAACGTTTAGGGTAAAAATGCAAACATACATCTGTTCAATCATTTATGTTGATCACTTTAATTTTATTGAGTCTATGCATTCAAGTAATATATACTCATCAAATGCACAAAAGCTCCATCATCTCAAATTCGTCTGCTAACCGCAATTCTGGGAGAGAGGGTGTGTGTTGGTTTTTTAAATAACATAAAACAAAAAACACATACGGAACGGCCTCAAAACTCAAAAGTCAAAACGACCTCAAACCCATAGTCAAAACGGCCACAAAAAAGTCATAAGTGCCACCAAGAAAAAGTCAAAACAGCCACAACAAAATAATTATATGTGAGCAGGATGTGTACAGAGTAGACATGTTAGACGTTGTTATTAATAACACATGAATGTCCAATGTGAGCGGGATGTGTTATTACGATGTATTACCTTCCTACAGAGTTTACGTGTTGTTTAAACCAATCTCATCAATTTACTTGCTTTCGCTCGTCAGATACCACAACTATTCACTCGTTTCATAAAATTGGTATTACACGGGGGCGAGTTTAGTATTCTATATATTATATACGTTTTGTACGGTGGCCCATAAGGGACAAGGAGTCTGTTTTTCAATATTTTCATATTTCGCTTACTTTTATCGTAACCTTTTGCAAATTAACACAATTTGTCATACAAATATGTGATAAATCATGTATTAAAAACAACCGAAAACATGGAAAATGTACTTTCAAGTGGCTATTGACCCGTTGAAATATGAAGCAAAAATGTCAAAAACTAAAATGGAAATGTCAAAAACAAAAACGAAAAGGTACGGTGGCCCATAAGGGTTCATGGAGTCTGTTTTTCAATATTTTGATATTTCACTTACTGTTATCGTAACCTTTTTACAAATTTACACGATTTGTCATACAAATATGTGATAAATCATGTATAAAGAAGATATTGAATCGCTGAAAAGTGAAGCAAAAATGTCAAAAAACGAAAATGTCAAAAACTAAACTAGGCCTGCTGCAATTCTTGTCTGTTGACGGGAGGCTGATGGCGTGCTCTAATCTGTCTATCAAGATGGTCCCACAGATGTTCAATAGGATTCATATAGGGTGAGTGGGCAGGCCAGGGCAAAACGTCAACGTTCTGCTGGTTAAGAAAGTTCCGAGTCAGTCTTGCAGTATGGGGCCTGGCATTGTCGTGTTGAAACAATGTCCCCTGCTGTAGGTTTTGTAAGAACGGAAGCACAACTGGCTGCAACACTTGGTCTCTGTACTGCACAGCGTTCAGGTTTCCCTGTATAATCACCAAATCAGTCTTCTGATCTCCACAAATACCGCCCCAAACCATGACAACTCCCCCGCCGAATGGATGGACCTCTCGAATACACGCCGGAGCAAAAGGTCGCCTCTGCGTCGATAAATTCGTTCTCTGCCGTCATTTCGAAACACGTTAAACCGACTTTCATCAGTAAACAGCACTCGACGCCAATTACTGACTTGCCAGCGTCGAACCTGCCTCACCCATCACGTTCTCAGGCGTCGATGTTGAGCAGTCAGTACCATTCCTTGGAAAGGACGATACGCTCGGATTCCAGCAGCACGAAGTCGTCGTAGTATTGTCGTTGGCTAATGGGATGTCCCAACGCTGTTGCTGCCGTCGCCGTCGCCGTTACGAATCTGTTTTGCAGGTGAATGAGCCATACCTGACCGTCTTCCAGTGGTGTGTTGTCACTCGGGGTCGTCCGGTTCTAGGCCTGTCCTGTGTCCTCCCTGTCTGCCTGTACCGTTTAATCAGCCTGGCTACTGTCAATGGTGTACAACCAAACCTTCTGGCAATTTGGACCTGTGTTGCCCCCATTTCGGCCATACCGATGGATCTCTCTCTCACTCTGCTCTCACGTGTGGTTATACCCTGCAGACGAACGCATTTATACAGCTAACATGCACGTGCAGTTTATGCCATAGGCGGGAAACCTGTTTCACCATTATTTGTCATCGCACGAGTCCCGTCAAAGGTGGCGCGTTCGGGTGAGGTGTTTTTTGGTACCTGTTCCTGAGCAGTCATATTCCCAATACCCACTTTCCACTAGTTATCGCTGTTTTTAGGAAAATTACAAATTGCCAACCTATACTTTCTTTTGCCGCTTATTTTATTTCCACCGCGGTGATAATATTCCCACCGCGGAGGAAATAGTTTTCTGTATTTTCATTATAGTTTTGACATTTTCGCTTTTGTTTTTGACATTTTCGTTTTTGTTTTTGACACTTCCAAAACACAACGATCGCATCAACGAATTCACGTCAGAAATGTTCTTAGGGACAGCTAATCTTAGTTCATATATACTCTAGTTGAGAGTGGTTTCCGTTTGTAGTCGCCCGGCGAGACTTTGCTCAATGTTACAGTTTTCATAAAGCGCAGAGTTCCGCTGTTATATTTTCTGGATCGCATTTGTGTCAATGCTTTAGTCTTTATTTTCGCAATTTATAAAATTATATCATTCTACATATGTAAAAATAATAAATAAAGGTTTCGCATCAGTTTTTACATCTAAAATCGTGTGGGACGAGCGGTTTTAACAATTATAACAAGGAAATACATGTGATCAAATATTGGAATTGTATATTTAATATTTTTTCTCGCAAAAGTAATTGTATTTTGTTTCGTTTTAAATACAATACCTAGGTTATCTATACTATTGAAAGACAAATATTTGATATCAAGTGATTAAAAACTGTCTGTTGAACAATTGCATTCTTTATAAACAGGTGATTGAACGGTATATAAACTGACGGCCAAAAGAAACGTTACCAACGATATTTCTAGGATAAAATATGACCAACACAATTTGAAGCAGCAATAACAATTGTATTGTAGAAATTCATCATTCAGAACAGTAAAATGCGAATTTACTAATTCAACAACAAAGTCCTTGAACTCCAACAGGGACATTTCTTGACAAGGGGTCATTCGTCCAGTATTCGATCAACAACATTGGTTACAACTTTAAGGTGACGACGGCCCAGACCGTTCAATACGGGATATGACCTCCATGAGCGGCAATGCATCTTCGAATGCGGCGTCGAACTGAGTAGACAAGCGTCCTCACATTGACTGCAGGTATCCGATTCCATTCCTCACGGAGGGCAACGATCAACGCTTGTCTCGTGAAGGGAGGATGTTGAGGTATCCGAAGACGACGCCCCAGCTGGTCCCAGAGATGTTCTATGGGTGACAGATCTGGTGATCGAGCTGGCCACGGCAGGACAGTCACGTTGTTGGCGTTGAGGAAGTCTCTTGTAATACGGGCTTTAGGGGTGTGGTGTTATCTTGTTGGAACACCGTCCGTTGTTGACGCTGGATGAAAGGAAGAACCACTGGCCGTAAGATATTGTCAATGTAGCGTTGTGCTGTCAGATTGCCTTCGATGATGACAAGTTCCGTCTTCTCGTCCCCGCAAATGCCGTCCCAGACCATCACACTTCCGCCCCCGTAAGGTTCCACCTCCTGGACACAACAAGGAGCCGTACGTTCACCACGTCGTCGACTCGCGTCCGCCCATCAGGTTTAAATAGTTGGAACCTGCTCTCGTCACCAAACAGCACTCGCCGCCATTGCCTTTGTTGCCATCGCTGAGTTTCCCTGCACCACGTCAATCTGGCACGTCGATGTTGATACCGGAGACCATAATGTCGTAGTCGTCTGGTCACTGTTTGTCTGCTGACCGGATGTCTTAAGCTGTTGGCAGCTGATGACGTCACAGTAAGAAATCTGTTCCTCAGATGAAGTACCCGTAAATAGCGGTCATCCTGCGGGGTCGTGACCTTTGGTCTGCCAGTCTGTCGGAGACGTGCGACCAGTCTGGTAATGGTCATCTTGGAGCAGTTCATGTTAATGGCAACCGCTCTCTGTGTCGCTCCCATCTGCAGCATACCCATGGCTCTCTCCCTCTGGACAGCGGTCAGTCTTGGCATGTTCGTTGGTGTTAATCATCGCAACCAATGATAGGGAACAGATCAGTGCGTAATTTATACCCGGAAATTGCACGATAATTTGGGAAAAAATGTTTTAAAAAATTGCTGAAAACACCAATATCTCCCAAAATCCTCAAAGCACGTGCCAAGAACGACAGAGAACATGAAGGCTGTATTCGTGAGATGTGTTCTTTACTGTTTTGGAACAGGTTGGCATCTTTGTTTCAAAGTGGCAAATCAGTTAATGTTGGTAATGTTTCTTTTGGCCGTCAGTTTAGATGTATTTCATTTAATATAACAATTTATTGAAATTTTGACAGCAAAAGTTAAGCACAGATTTTCGTATCGAAAAATCAAATAAAGAATTGGTTCCCATGCTCGTTCGGGTTTGAAATGTCGTCAAAAAGTAGAATAGTTTGAACATTGTCCAAATTTCACTTTCCAACATATGTTTGCAGGAAACGTTTATTGAATGAAGTTTACTGATCAATATATAATCATCTTCCCAAGGCAAGATAGTTAACTAACTATAAAAGTCCAGTTTCCACCCTTGCCGAACTAGGCTGGTATTATGGAATTACATTTTGGCTGGACTAACGAGTCTATGCACAGTCCAATCAAAATCGCGCACCGAAATCGAAATCCGGTTCGTAAATTGTCGTGCAGATTTCGGTCCATTGCAGGATTTGCAAAACATGTGCACCGCCAACTCGTTGTCAGCAGATATTTTCCGAATCTTTTCATGTTTTTAATCAAGGTGCTCACGTGATTTGATGCATTTCGCGATGTAAGTTTTATCACAATATATATCTTGATTATCGATCAGATCGTCCTGACTGGGCGCCACCATTCTGTGTGATACGAGAGGTGGAATCTGATTGGTCCATAGGGGAGGCTTAGAAGGGACATAACTGGTAATAGCCACTGGTGGCGCTACGATCGAGCCCAGTAATTCCAGCCTAGTTCGGCAAGGATGGAAACTGGACTTTTAAAGTCAGTTAACTTTCTTGCCTCGGGAAGATGTATATAATAGACTGTTTCAACACAATAATCTTTGAATTTTGCATTCCATGAACCGATTTTAAAATAATAATTAATTTTGGTCTTTTTAATATTTAAGTGTACCCATACCCGTTTTATGTTAAAAAATATATAGATACTTGAGACCATTCAGACAATAAAATCGTTGTAAAGTTTAGGTTTAACGGACACTTATGATGAAAGGAGACAATTTGCGGGGAGGTAGCTCTTGTATGGCAATAGTTTTGTCCAAGTGTTATGTTCACAGCAGTGAAATATCAAGTGTTATGGTCACTGCAATAAAAATATCTTTGTTTTTCAACTTCAGAACAAGAGGCCCATTGGGCCTGTATCGCTCACCTGGATATTTACGCAATCATGACAAAATATACATTTGCATTGTACATGTATATAATACTGCAAATATTTCGTAATTTTGACTCTGTCAGCATTTAAAATGGGTGGATGGCATATCTGACAACATGAACGTGTATTTTTCAAGAAACAAATGTAGCATAAAGATCTGAACCGTTTCCATGTTATGATCCAGGATCGATCATATCAAAGGTATTATTCTCTTCATAACAAACAAATGTATACAATGTATCTGTTTATTATAGGATGGGGATAATATCGCCCGGTTTGCATGTTATGGTCAAGGTTCTAACTCCTTTGGGAGTGCCGGACAGATGAACAGAAGGGACAGTCCTGGTAGCATCTGTGCATTCCTCTCATTATACTCTCAATTGTACATATATTTATTGACCCGTGAAGATCCGGGGTAGAATAGGTCTTCAGCAACCCATGCTTGCCGTAAAAGATGACTTTGCTTGTCCTAAGAGGCGACTAACGGGATCGGGTGGTCAGGCTCGCTGACTAAGTTGATGCATGTCATCGATTCCAATTGAGCAAGCTGACAAGGTAAGGATGTCATCTGTGGCCAGCTACACGTGGATCGATGCTCGTGATATCAATCACTGGATTGTCTAGTCCAGACTCGATTATTTACAGGCCGCCGTCATATAGCTGGAATATTGCTGAGTGCGGCGTTCAACAACAAACCAACCAATCAACATTTGGTTATGCGGTGGGGATCTTAACTGTGTCCAAGTTATAAACTCTTTTTAGTCTCCGGGGGTGAGGGAAGGGTTCAACCCTTCCATTTTTTCCAGTTGGAATCCCAACCATTGGAGAATGCTTCCAACCAAATAAGGTTGATAACTAACTCTAAGTTCCAGACAAGAAGTCGTTTAAAGCAATAACGTCAAATTACCCCTATTTGGCCCCGCCCCTCAGCCCCACCAATTGTACAATTTTGAATCCCCACCACCTGGGGATGCTTCCAGTCAAGTTTCGTTAATTTCCAAATAGTGGTTCCGAAAAAAGGTCGTTTGAATAAATTGTTGACGGACGGGCGGACGACGGGCGGACGACGGACGCCACGGTATCCCATAAGTTCACCTTGGTCCTTCGGACCCGGTGAGCTAAAAATCAGTCTTCCCCAGAAGTATATATAATAAACAATGCCATTTTCGCTTGGTGCCGTTTTGACTCGGTGACGTTTTAACTACTAACCCTTCTCGTACACGACAAGCCAATGGTTTGTGTTGCTGGCAGCGGAAGGAGTGTGCGTTTAGGACGAACAATGAGTGATCAGTTAAAGATACTTTATCGAAGTAAAGATGTGTTGGTTGTTGACAAAAATATTGATACTAAAATTAATTCAAACGATGAAAGTATCAACGAAGTCACAGTTGCAAAACAGCTAGCCAGTAACTTCCCCGAGCTAATAGATAACACGGTTGAATTCGGATTCAGGTGAGGTTGGGAATCGGACCATAGAGATAAGTGTTTTCTTAATACTGGGGTGATAAAAAATATCCACACTGAAAGAGTGCAACCATGATCGTCAGCATTCGCCCCTTTCCGTTACCAATGTGTAATATGGAGGGGTTAGAGCAAAAACGGCACCGATTGGCGAAAACGGTACCTCGTCTAAGTCGAAAACGGCAACTATTATTGCCTGCCGAAAACGGCACCTTATATTTGTTTATCCTTGGTACTGAAATAAATAAAACTAAACTCACATGGTCACTTGCAAAAAGAAATAATTGTGAAGTGTTAAAACAAGTTCATATGATAATATAATATGCATTATTTATAATTTTATTATGAAACTGAATAACTGTGGAAGATAAGACAATGGCAATGTAAATAAAGCATATATACTTCAACTTAACATAATAAAGCATGTAAATAAAGGATATATACTACTACATAAATCGCTATTATCTTTTTTTATAAATAGAGGTGACGTTTTGCTGACGTGCCGTTAAAGCCTGCATACATATGGAACCTCCCTTTAGAATACAGTACCAGAAACTTTTCAAACATGTCACAATACCCTATGATGTAAGTTGCATTATTAACTATGAGGACATTATAATCCTATGTGTCCTAGGGTCATATCACGTCATGAGACAACAATGTACGTTTTCCGTCATCTGGACGGCATTGTTGACGACATTTGAATCTTACTGTGACGTGAGGTCGGAATGATGTCATACTAGAAACAACGTCATACTGAAGATTGTTGACGACACTCGACAAATTGTGGTTCTGCTGCTGTTGTGACTTGCTGTCCTTGTAGGTAAACACTAAAATTCGTCTCTATATGTAGACATCTTCTTCGGTAATAAATAGAACATTAAATGAGTGTTCATGTCATACTATGTTTACGACACTCGTGCCTATATTCCAGTATTTCACTCGCTCTTGCTCAGGAAATACCAGAATTTAAACACTCATGTTGTAAACATAGTATGACAGGAACACTCATCTACAAACTAAAATCGTTGGAAGAGTGATGTTGGATGATAAATAAAATCTCACACTCAGGTCTTTTGATATCAAATATATCAACACTTGTTGATAAAAGTGGAAAAACTCCTCGGCAAGCCTCAAAGTATTTCTACTTTTATCAACTTGTGTTGATATATTTGATATCAAAAGACACATGGGTGAGATTCTCTATATAATATCTTCTATGTATTTTGTTGCCAGTCACACCGGTGAAACAATGCTGTGACGTCAGGGGTCATCGAGTGTGCATTAGCTCGTCTCAGTAATCTATCATCTCCACACGCAATGTTGTTGAATAAGTCCAGCAATGTTGACAGTTTTAAATATTTGTTTACTAAATATAGCCTGCGGCGGCACATTTTATAACAAGCATTAGTTTCTTAAAGCACTTATATTTTCAATATATTTTTTATTTGTTTTTTCTTAATTCAAATGGCTAAAATGATTATAATGGGAACTAATATACAAAGATTATTTTTTCAATTCATTAATTTTCATTATTATCATGATTATGCTCAGGAATGCAGTTTATTAGGTATATTATATTGGCACTCAACACATCCACATGTCGCAAGTGTAAGGGTAGGCTATCCTTAGCCCTTGGATCCCCTTTATGATCATTAGTGTTAGGTACCCATTTAGTGGCTATTAGATTACCCGAACTCTATCCTCAGCTCTTGGATCCCCTTTACGATCTATCAACCCTAGCTTTACAATCATTAGGGTTAGGTACCCGTTTAGTGGCTATTAGATTACCCGAACTCTATCCTCAGCTCTTGGATCCCCTTTACGATCTATCAACCCTAGCTTTACAATCATTAGGGTTAGGTACCCGTTTAGGGGCTATTGGATTACCCGAACTCTATCCTCAGCTCTTGGATCCCCTTTACGATCTATCAACCCTAGCTTTACAATCATTAGGGTTAGGTACCCGTTTAGTGGCTATTCTTGATTCAATAGTGGTTCCTAATATTCTTCACACAAAAACGTCGAGAAAGCAGCATGAAATAGTTTAGTGTAAAACATTTTGGCCACTTGAAACTGTCCTGGAATATTCATACAAGCCACTTTCACCCGCTACGTTTTTTCAGTAATGATTCAAAAGCTTGTAGTGGTTTGTAACAATAACTGAAGAAAGGTACTTCGTGTTAAAAAGCCCTTTTATTCAGACCCCCATGTGGTCAGCATGGTGGCCATCTTGTTACAGCTCAAGGGAGAGCACTCTCGTTGGCTTAGCTGCTAGATACTGCTTGGGTATGACTACTTAATATAGATTAATGGACTTCTGTTGACATTAACACTTATCATTACATCTCCCTTTCTAAGTTGAAATTAACATTATATCAACTCTGAATTAAACTGGTAACAATGTTAACACTTAAAAGCCTGGCTAAGCACATCAACAATAGATAAGTTTAATTTCTTTTCTTTTTTTTTATCAATGAGTGCTTGAAATGACACATCATGTCAAATTGATCATGTTCAGTTCCTTCCTGATGAGTGTCTCTTCTTGTCATTCAGTTTGCACATTTATGATGGCTTGCCATTCTCTAACTTTAGAACTTAAACTAAACTCAATTAAAGTCTCTGACAAAAACCTAGTCTACTGAAAATCAACTTCCGAAACATGAAACTTTAACAGTTCAGAATTCACACATCACTCGGTTTCGATCAGACGAGATGGCTTGTTGATGACTCGTCCAGATCGTGTTGTAGTACCACTCTGCTGTTCTTTGGGAGTTGTCAAGCAAGTTGTAGTTGTTGTTGTTGTTGTTGTTGTTGCAGGCTGGTTAGTTGTAATGCGAGGTGTGTTGTCATGAGGAGTAAGGAGGAGATCACGGCGATTTCATCTGTCTTCCACCTCCCTCTGTTTGCACAAGGTAGGATCTTGGTGCTACCTTTCGCACTATTTTACCTTTTGTTTTCCAGTCATTTCTTGTGTCTTGATACACTCTCACACTGCTACCTGGTTCTAACTGGGGTAGAGGTAGAGGAGATGCTTTCTGGTCGAAGTAGTACTTTTGTTCCTCTTTAGAAACCAGCTTGTGTTTGATGACTTGATCTGGATCAGGTGTACTTGACTGAAGGAGATCTTTCTTCAGTGGGAGATTGGACCTGATTGTCCGATTCATTAACAGCTGTGACGGGGAGAAACTACCAGCTAGAGGTGTGGTACGATAGGCGAGCAGTCCTAGATGAGGATCTTCACCACTGTCAATGCACTTTTTCATGATGTTTTTGACAGTCTGGACTGTACGTTCTGCAAGACCGTTTGACTGGGGGTATTTAGGACTAGATGTAGAGTGTTTAAAGTCCCATTCAACAGCAAAATCTGCAAATTCTGCACTCGCATAACATGGTCCGTTATCACAGAACAGTTCAACTGGTGAACCATGTCTGGCAAATATGGATCGTAGTGCTTTGATGACGGCTTGGCTGGACTGTTTTGGCAAAGCAATGACTTCTGGGAAGTTAGAGTATGTGTCCACAACTAATAGATAGTCTTTTCAGTAGAGTTCAAAAAGATCAGTGGAGACATACTGCCATGGCTGAGTAGCTACTGGGTGAGGTGATAGTGGTTCAGGTTGATGACGATGACGATAGTTCAAGCACGTCTCACATCCACTTACCATGACATCTATGTCATGATTCATTCGAGGCCAGAATAGAACTTTTCTGGCTCTCTGCTTGCATTTTTCTTGACCCAGATGTCCTGCATGTATTTTCTGCAACATCAGTTTCCGCATACCTTTGGGCACGACGATGCGGTTGCCTTTGAAGACTACTCCGTCAATACATGAAAGTTCATCTCGATAATTCCAGAAATCATCCAGGTTTCTTGGGCACTGTGAATGTTCATTAGGCCAACCTGTCAAGATGATTGCTTTTAGAGCTGTCATTTCTGGATCTATGTTGCTTTCTGCTCTGATCTGTGCGAATCTGTCAGTTGACACCTGCACTGTTGACAAGATACTGTCAACATACATTTGTACATCTGCTTCAGTTGTACTGGTGGGTGATTGATCACTAGGAAAGTTCCTTGACAGGGTATCTGCTGCATACATCTCTCGACCAGGAGTGTACATTACCTCCATGTCATATTTCTGCATGCGAAGACGGAAACGTTGAATGCGTGGAGGACAGTCATTCAGAGCTTTCTTGAAGATGGGAATCAGTGGTTTATGGTCAGTTTCTGCGAGAAACTTTCTCCCATACATATATTGATGGAACCGTTCAGCTCCAAAACACATTGCTAGTGCTTCCTTCTCGATCTGTGCGTAGTGAGTCTCTGCAGTGGTCATCGCCCTTGACGCTACTGGCATCCATGCATTTTCATGTTGTTGCAGCAGTATGGCACCAAGTCCATGTTTTGATGCATCTGTAGACACTTTGATGGGTTTCTTGGTATCATAGAATTGAAGAACCGGTCTTTGTGAGATGAGGTTTCGAAGTTCTTCCCATGATTTGTCCTGTTCATGAGACCAAGACCAATGACTGTCTTTTTCCAACAGCTGCCTAAGTGGTGCTGATTTTGTTGAGAGGTCTTGAATGTACCTTCCTAGGTAATTAACCATCCCAAGGAACCGTTGCAGTTCCTTCTTTTCTGTGGGTTTCTGAAGATCCATGATGGCTTTCACCTTGTTAGGGTCTGGTTTGAGTCCATCAGTAGAAATTCTATCTCCCAGGAAGGTAAGCTCTGTGACACCCACTTCACATTTCTCTCTATTCAATTTCAGACCACTGTCTCTACACTTCTGAAGTACTGCTTTCAGTCGCTCGTTATGCTCTCTGGTGTCTTTACCAAAGATGATCATGTCATCCATACTGGTGTCTACACCTCTAATGTGCTCGAAGAGTTGATGCATGGTTCGATGATACACTTCTGGCGCACTTGAAATACCAAATGGGAGTCTGAGATAACGGTATCTCCCAAATGGTGTGTTGAATGCTGTCAGCATTGAGCTGACATGATCTAGCTTCATTTGCCAAAAGCCTGAGGAGGCGTCCAGCTTGCTAAACACTTTAGCACCAGCAAACTGCTTCTTCACGAGTTGGGATTTTTTAGTGTTCTCTCTGAACTGCTAGATTCAAATTGCGAGGATCTAGGCATATTCTCAATTTCTCTTGTTTCTTGTGTAAAATCACCATCGAACTAACCCATGCCGTAGGTTCTGTAACCTCTGTGATCACTCCATGTGATTTCATTCTGTTCAACTCTTCTTTAAGTTGATCATGGAGAGCAAACAGCACTTTTCTACAAGCTTCTATGACTGGTGTGACTTCTTTGTCAACTGTTATGGTATGTTCACCAGGCAAGCATCCAAGCCCTGTGAATACATCTTGATATTCACTAAGAATATCTTCTGGCTTTGTAGAATTCTGGCTGTTCAAATTTTTCTCATCAACATTGATTTCGTAAACTCTACGAACCAAGTTCAGTCTCTCACAATCCTCCACACCAAGGATACATCTATTGTTGTCTGGCGTTACCATGAATACAGTCTTGTATGGTTTACCTTTGTAGGTGACTGTGAGCTCTGCCTGTCCTTCAACAGGTATGTCAATTCCACCATAAGCTTTTAGGCTCATCTTAGGAGGTTCTAATGGTGGCTGGTATTTTAGTTTATTCCACTGTGACAAGCTGATGAGGTTCATGTCTGAGCCGCTGTCAAGTTTGAGGGGTACCTGTGTTCCATTTATGTCAAGTGACATCATCCAAGCCTTTGAGTTAGAGACCCTCTGACTGTCTGTATCCACAACATCAACGAAGAATTCTGCATCTTCTGGTGGATAATCACATGCTTCTGCATCAATATCATAGACACGTCGGGATTGACCTGAATGAGATCTACATTGTGTAGCAAAATGTCCGAGAAGATCACATTTCAAACACTTTTGACCAGATGCTGGACATTTCTGTTTTGGGGTATGATTTCTTCCACACCGTCCACAAAGCTCTTGTTTTACTGTTTCTTGTTTACTTGTTTGCTTGTAGTTCATTTTCTGTTTTGGTTTTGACTTTGGTTTGGATTTTATGTAATGAACTGCACAATCTTCACATACTTCTTTAGCTTGACAACTTGCCATTTCTGCAGCACGACATGAGTCTATTGCTTTTGAAAGAGTTAATCTATCATCACGCAGTAATTTCTCTCGATAAGCACTGTTGTACACGCCACACACTATTCTGTCTCTAACCAAACTGTCTTTGAGTTGTCCAAATTCACAAGATTTAGCTTCACTAACATACTGATCTATTGTCTGCCTTTTGTGAACATGTAAAAAATTTGTATCTATCAATTTTTTTCTAGTAACACAGTACTGCTCAAATTTTTCTAAGTTTTTTTCAACTTTCTGTTCATCTTCCTCTTCAGCCCATTCAAAAGAATTAAATACTTCTCTGGCATTTTCTCCAATGAAATGCAGCAATAAAGATGACTTGTAGACATCAGGTTTGTTTTTACCATCAACAGTAATGGTGTAGTAGCATTCCCATGCTTGCTTGAAACGGCGCCAGTTTTCACTCACATTTCCAGCAAGTTCCAAAGGTTTGGGAAGACCCAAGTTATTCATTATCGTTGTCAGTAACTTCTTTGATGGGTAGACTTAGTTCTGACACCATATAGTGGTTTGTAACAATAACTGAAGAAAGGTACTTCGTGTTAAAAAGCCCTTTTATTCAGACCATGTGGTCAGCATGGTGGCCATCTTGTTACAGCTCAAGGGAGAGCACTCTCGTTGGCTTAACTGCTAGATACTGCTTGGGTATGACTACTTAATATAGATTAATGGACTTCTGTTGACATTAACACTTATCATTACAAAGCGGACTCACCCTTGTTGCTTCATTACCATGCTTATGCCTCCCTCGTTCCTTACTATGATCCACATTATCCTTACAGTGTTCCCTACCACACTTTTCTGTCACAAAAATTACCCAACAAATGATTAAATACCATGTCATTCATGCATACCCGCCACTTTGATGCCTTACGCCTGTTACCGTTTTCAGTTCCCCCAATATCGGCTCATTCCTCACCACTTGGTATCGTGTAGATTACGGAATGGGACGAGTGTCATCTGTCATAAGACACCATGCCCACCTGTGACCTTTGTAAGTGTCTGTCACCTAGTCAACCATTTTCGTTCAGTTCCGTAACAGTGTAGGCATGACTAGGTAAATTTGCACATAGTTTTACAGTGTGGACGTAGCTCAGTCGGTTAGCTGTCGGGCTAACAATCCGAAGGTTGTGAGTTCGCGTCCAACAGATTCTCACAAAAACTGGTTGCTTCTCTTTGAGACACTTGACCTATGGCAGAGATCATTCTCAGGAGAAGTTGTGGTACTGTATTCTAAAGGTGGTCCCGAAGTATTTTTCATTTCTCTGTGATTTTAATCGTAGTATTTTTGTTGATTTACTGTTCACTTTCTGACAATTGCTAGTAGCCAGAGGGATAGTGTAATTCCTGCTGGGGTACTATGTAGGTAACAGAAGTAGCGTAAGTCCCCATGGTCCATAGTATTGTGACCTAACTTTGGTTGCTGGGGATCTATTGCTCATTTATAGTATGTAATTTTTTAAGGATGAATGCTATTTTTAAAAACAAATCTGTGATACTCTAGTTGTTTTACTGTCAACGGTCAACAGATTTTTATAAACTCTTAATGTATTTACTCTTGATATATAAATTGGTCACGTTACAATATGGCTGAAATATTGCTGATGTGACGTTAGATATTAACTCACTCACTCACTCACTAAAGGTGCTCCGAATCAGGCTATAACGGCAACGCCTCAAATGTCTCCCAACTTCACTGGCGAAAATGCCCCTTGCGAATTTCAAGGTTAGAAAAGGTTCCCAGGAACCTACACTGGTCATATTAGTCGACATAATGGATCGGGTGGTCAAGATCGGTGACTTGGTTGATTGTGTGTCATTGTACCCAATGGCATGGATCGTTGCTTACGACATCAACCACTGGATTGTCTGGTCCAGACTTGATTATTTACAGGCTGCCATCATATAGATTGTTTCTATGTGGTATTATTGCTGAGTGTGGCGTTAAAAAAGAAACAAAGAACTGGCGAAAAGGGCACAATATCTATTGCATGTCATCATGTCATTGTTGCTCGCATCCACCACTGACTAGCCTGGTCCAGACTGGATTGTTTATTTGCCATGGTCATGTAACTGGAATTATTGCTAAATGCAACATTAAAATCAAACATCTGGCAAAAATTGCACCACATTTCGATGAACACATAATATTTTATTGATACAGAAGGAAATAAATAAAGTATATCTGACATGTACACATAAACTTCTGCTTTCCATTTGGAGGTTATGACTGAGCTGACTGGCAGTCGTCTTAACTTGATGACGGTGTGGCAAATACACAAAGATTAAGTGGGACCATATGTCTCTATGTATTTATAAGTTGTCTAGTTCACAACAGAGTTTATCAGTTGTCTAGTTCACAGAGTTGATCAGTTGTCAAGGATACAGAGTTGTTCAGTTCTGGAGGTTAAAGAGTTGATCAATTGTCTAGGTAATAGAGTTTTCAGTTGTCAAGGTCACATAGTTGATCAATTGTCTAGGTAATAGAGTTTCCAGTTGTCAAGGTCACAGAGTTGATCAGTTGTCTAGGTAATAGAGTTTTCAGTTGTCAAGGTCACATAGTTCATCAGTTGTCCTGGTTACAGAAGGAGATCACTTGTCAAGGTTACTGACTTTATCAGTTTCAAGTTCACAGAGTTGATTAGTTTATAGTTTATAGAGTTGATCAGATGTCTAGGTTACAGAGTTGATCAGATGTCTAGGTTACAGAGTTGATCAGATGTCTAGGTTACAGAGTTGATCAGATGTCTAGGTTACAGAGTTGATCAGATGTATAGGTTACAGAGTTGATCAGATGTCTAGGTTACAGAGTTGATCAGATGTCTAGGTTACAGAGTTGATCAGATGTATAGGTTACAGAGTTGATCAGATGTCTAGGTTACAGAGTTGATCAGATGTCTAGGTTACAGAGTTGATCAGATGTATAGGTTACAGAGTTGATCAGATGTATAGGTTACAGAGTTGATCAGATGTCTAGGTTACAGAGTTGATCAGATGTCTAGGTTACAGAGTTGATCAGATGTCTAGGTTACAGAGTTGATCAGATGTATAGGTTACAGAGTTGATCAGATGTCTAGGTTACAGAGTTGATCAGATGTCTAGGTTACAGAGTTGATCAGATGTCTAGGTTACAGAGTTGATCAGGTTGTTGTTGTTTCAGATTTGCACATCGTTTGGACTATGCAACCAGTGGTGTTCTGTGTATTGCTTTAAATAAAACCACAGCAGGAACCTTCCAGAAGTGTTTCAGCCATAGGAAGATACTGAAGCATTATCTGGCTCTCGTAAGTTGACGTCTGCTCTAATGTTTCCTGATGAACATCACTTCCGTTTATGAGAAATCAAGTATTTGTGACTTAAAATTGTTAAAAATAACCATTCTTATACTTGTTTCAGGTTACAGATGGGTTTTTTTTCCAGGTCAAAAAAGGCTCCAAGAACCTCATGCTAGCCACTAAAATAGGGACAGGGTGGTCAGGCTTTGTGACCTGGTTGATTGATCCATTTCTGGTGTCCCCCGCTGTGATATTGCTGGAATATTGCTAAAAGCAGTGTAAAATCATTGTAATCTTTTTCTGCTGCGAAACTGCCAGATTGGGGGAGCTGAACTTTGAATGGCTCTGCTTTTGATCACATCTTGTTCAAATCATTGATTTTAGGTTCAGATTTTAGTCCTTGGTATTTATGCAGAAAATATATGAATTGGCCAGCTAAGTTGGGCAACATTTAGGTGGTCAGAAGCCACAATCATGCCAACAGTTGAGGGTCTGAGGATTTCTGGTATTCTGTGAATAAAACTAGAGAAGAATTTAACCTTGGAGTAACAACCTGTGTTTGTTTGCCAGGTACATGGTCATGTGGAAGACAAGTGCTTGTTTATTGATGTTCCTATTGGCCAGAGCTCCATCCATACTGACATCTATAGAATGTGTGTGTCCAGCTCCCCACATTGCATCCAGCCTGTGAAGAGATGCAGCACTGTTGCAGTGCGTCTGGAGACTGGTCTATATGATGGGGCAGCTGCATCTAAACTACTGTTGATACCTCTGACAGGTAAAGTATGGTACCTGTATTCCAACTCTGATGAAAAAGCAGATAAAACTAACATTTATTTATCTAATAATACAGATATGTCAAAGGCTTAAAATGTGCAATGAAAATATGGAAATTTGAGATGCTACCCATTTTGATTTCATTGAAGATCCCTGCATGTAGCCCAACATACACATATATTTAATGAGATGTTTATTATCCATGCTGATATATAACTCAGCATGAATGACCCCAGCAATTGTTGCTAACAGGAGCCTACACGATTCTCATCTGACTTTGACATGGTGGCAGCCTAACAGAAACTGTCATTGTTTTTCATTCCTTGCCCATTGCTGCATGTATCCTGTATACCTATGTAAAACAATCAGGGATCACATGAGGTGTGGTGAGAAATGTTTCATATTCATATTCAATGAGTGGTACCTGTTGCTTGTTCGTTTGTTTGTTAGTTTGAATTCCAATATAACAGCAACACACAGATCATATGGATTCTTTAAAAATGGGAAAATCCTGAACCTGCCTTGGTCAGCTATAAGTCTTGACCTCAACCCCATTGAACACTTGTGGGACGGACAAGGACATTGAGTGCTCCAACATCCGATATAGCACCTTACATTTAAACCAACTCTTTGCAACTCTGTAGGAGAAGTGGCTCCAGATCCCAAGGGCCACTAGATAGAGGTCCTTCAGCATCTCAAGGAGCATGATGGGTTCACAGTCAATATTATAATTGATGTTACATAGCTATGCAAGTGATTAATGTTGAATTCACCATTCAATTCATGTGCACCATTGTTTTTCTGTTAAGAACTTAAGCAGTACCGCTATGTAAGTGGCGGGCAGGGTTTTACTCTGACCGGTTCTCTTGGGGTTGAGTGTCTGAATGTCGACACCTAGTTCTGGAGAAGTATCCAAAGAATCCAAACTTTCAAAAGTAGGGGCCAGGGGACCCCCAATAGTTGATTGTAAGGGCCCCTGCAGGCAATATGACAGTCCTGTAAAGGTCAGAAATGGTGTAGTGTACTGTATGTTCAGATAATTACAGGAATGAATCAATGATCATGTGGACTGTGGTCATGACTGATGGATGAAAAAACAGACACCCATTGCTGCTTTTGATGCGCTGTAGGTACAATGAGTATAAAAAAACTCTGCGTCTGTTTTCTACATTTGTGCATACTGGACGCACATTTGTGCTTCGTTTAAAACCCGGGGCAGGTGAAATAACATGTAATATTAATTTGGTAGGTTGCTGATTTGAATTAAATGACTTTAGTGAGTGAGTTGGGTTCAACATGGCTTTGAGCAGGTTTTTGATCATGCATGTCAGCTTCTTGAGGAAAGTCCAGAGTTGTGCAGGTGGTCAGTGATTGTCACTTTGGTGAAATCCACAAACATTATTAGTATGCTGCTGACAGCAGATCCAGGTGCAGCAAAGAGATACAACTCTGACGTTCTGGTTGTTGGAGTGGTTCTTCCATGATTAACAGTAACAGTCTTGGGAACCAATTCTGAGAAAGAAAATTTGACGTTCTGGTTGTCGGAGTGGTTCTTCCATGATTAACAGTAACAGTCTTGGGAACCAATTCTGAGAAAGAAAATTTGACGTTCTGGTTGTCAGAATTGTTCTTCCATGATTAACAGTAACAGTACCGGTGCTATGAGAATAATCGTGCAGCTTGTATCCTCGATCTTCAAAATAACTTTTTTGGAGAGACCAATGTGGGAAAGTGTAAGCGCAGATCCCCATTCAGTCTGTGGACAGCGCATCCTCTTTTGGGGGATCCGGCACCAGATTGACATACACTGGGGAGTTTGTTGTTGAGACATGTGGTGAACAAATCCAGATGTGGTGTGACATACTGATGTCATCCAACAAAATACCACCAGGTTGAGACAAACTGTTTCCCTGGTATGTGTCAGGCATTCGTCCTGCAATGAATCAAATCCACCAAGTCGAACAAACGTATAGTCTTGTGCATCAATCCACTCGACTGGGTTCCTCCCTGTCTCTGTATGTAAGATACTACTGTGGTGTTTTCTGCAGCTTACAGGATCGTTCTCATCTTTAGACAGTTGATGTGAAGATCTCTTTCATGATCCGTCCACATGCTCTAAATTGGTACAAAACGTTAAAACTCATCCCATCTCACACTGCATTTCTCTGTTTCCCCAGCTGATCCACGAGTGGATACAACCTTGAACCTGTTCATCTTCAAAAAACACCTCACCCAACCACATCCCAGGCGTTACTTTTAACAAACAACCATGGTACAAAGTCCTGAATACTTTCCATGAAAATGGCCATACTGGCCAGACTGCATGAATTGTTGCCAATGTTATTCATGTCCACGTGAGAATCACCTTCAGATTACAGCAATGATACCAGGTCACCAACAGCATGAGCAATTAGATAGTTGACAGGATCGTTGAGTGCATACTTCGCAGTTACTTACATCTGACAATCGATCCCATCCATCACGTTTTTCACCTGCAGATATTCAAGCTCTATACAAGTTATGTATATGGCTCTCAGGAAGAGTCGTTTGCTGGACACAGGAAGCGCTCCTAACGGCAAACGTCTTTGCTGAGGCCTAGATCAGGGAATCTCAAACCTACACCAGCGGGGTTTGGACAGTAGCATTATCATGCTACACCTCGAAGAAGACGCTGCTAGATCGTCTATCTCCCCGAATGCCAGCCAAACAACCAGACTCGCAACTTTGCAAAGTTACCAAACCAGATGAAATATTGCCAGTCCAGAATTTTCGAACAAAGAGTAACAAAAGGGTAACCATAAGATCAGTACAGATCAATGTTAGTTCTAAAAAAATAACAATACAATACAATACAATGCGTCACCCTTGCGAGCTACAAGTCAGATAACCCCGAACATCTTCCATTCAAGAAATGATGGTACAAGTGTCATCAGAGTTGAAGGTGTTTATTCTGTAGATGGAGGTTCTCATAAAGGGTAAAAGGCTGTAAGAAATACAAACACAAATGATTACTTAACCTGGTCGCTAGCATAAACAACAAAAATAACAACTTTTAGTCCAAAATGCCTTAAAACAGAGTTTAAAGACACACCTAAACAACGTAAGAAATATCCTTTTACATATAACCTTATGCGACAATAAATTAAAAGGGAAATCGAACACATAAATTGAATGCGTCAGCATATTAGAAAAACGCGCGAAAACTTAGTCACATTACAAGGCTTGTCAAAGTGAATTCATGACATATCATCCTATGACAGCCCAATTAAACTGTACACAAACAATCTTAACCATACTATGATAAATATACTGCCAATACTCACACTGTGGTGTGTCACGAGTGGTCAAAACCTAATTTTCCTTATTGCGAGAGCAAACGGCGTGGTTTGTCTCGCTTACCTTTACGCAACGACAAATTTGACTCATGCACAGGAGAGTTCGGACAGCCAGGGAGCATACATTGCGGAAAACTGTTGCGCTGTAACAGCACAACACTGGTGGATTGTCAACTTAGTAACTTTAACCCCCGACCATCGGGCGTGCAACTTTACAAAAGTGACCATCCGTCAGCAAAATTTACCTTCTTTGGCTGTCGGGCAGGCGGGTAGTTTAAACACTGCTGACAGCTTCAACATAATAGAGTCCACTTCCTTGTCTTTCATGAAGAAGCATTATTGCCAATTCTCCTTTGAACGTCCTTTCAGAAGTTAGAGAATCAACTGCAGTTTGTCATGAGATTGTTACACCATCAAGGCAGCTCGTCAATACAAAGAAATTTGAGATGATCACCACACAACTCCAGGTCATAGGAGCGTTGCTCAACCCCCAAGCAGGCAAGATGTTCATTCCACAGGACAGATGGGTGAAGATTCAATCACAAATAATGTTGGCATTCAAACAATCTCGGACACTTCATCAGTGGCAAGAAGTGTTAGATCTCCTAACTTCCGCCCTAACAGATAGAAGTCAAGTGCAGCTCTGGCCATTACAGACATATCTGAAACCATTTCTGCAGAACGATGACTGCAAGAGCAAGATTCCCAACATCTTGCACCTTCAGTGGTAGCTTCAGGAGTTGAATGTCTGCAAAGGAGTCAAAGAGATGCCAAACTGTTCCGCCTTATGTTTGTATGATGTATGCTGGGGCAGTTTGAAGAAAGTCACTGGTGGATCAGAGATGAACCAAGGACTGGTAGTTCTGTCTGGAATCAGGGGGATGTTGTAAGTCGTGGCCGACAATTCTTTAGAACGGTGTCCTGTGCGAGGAGACACAAAAACACATGAATTACCCGACCTCATGATTGTTCATCCTAGTAGCACTAAGGGTTTTTCAGAAGCAAACCATACACAAGTTCTCGTCATAATGAGCCTAGATAATGTGACGATCTCTTGATTGGATCATAGTTCCAGGACCAGCTTCCTCATGTACATCTCACAGTTGACGTCTGTCTGTATTTCAGGCTTGAGTATCTGCACCCGCATTCAAACCGTGGGATAAATACACAATGTGAGATATGAACATCATATATCAGTTTCACGTAAAAAGCACAGAATTGTTTTGTCACAATTTATTTGCTTGGGAGTGCTATCATCTTTCTGCTGCTTTTTTTTTAATATATATATTTTGACTAAACTAAATTCTATTACGTAATTAATGTACACATTGTCATTTGATCTTTTTCAAAATTCCCCCACATTAGCGTTTTTTTAATATTGGATAATTATTTAATTCCTGGCCATGTCAATAATCATATCGCTGTGCAGAGTTGCGTCCCTTGGGCACGCCAGAAACCTATGATTGTGGGTTCGAATCCCGGTTCGCCCCGATTATGTTTCTAGGTTTGTCAGCACCATACCCGTGCTCGTGGGTTTCACCGAAGTGGTAAACGTCTTAGACCTGCATCACTTGGGGCTTTCCTCCCACATTAAGCTGACACGCCGTGATATAACTGGAATACTGTTAAAAGCGGCGTTAAACCCAACTCACTCACTCACACAATA